ATTTTAGTCTAAAATGTTGAGAAATTGTTCACAAGTGTGGATTCCACGCTCTTTCTCATTTCACTCACCCTAACCCTAACCCAAAATCTGAAGAGAGACAAATGAAAGGGTCATATTCATTTTCTTGTGGATGACAGGCCAAACTGTGAATATCTTTGTTTTGTGGGATACCTGACAACCTGACCCTAGTACAGTGTCTGAGTTTATGCCCTGTTTCAACGTTTTATTTTTATTTTTTATTATTTTTATTTATTTATTTATTTTTTGCTGTTTTACAAATTTTTCTTGCCTTTTCCATCAATGAAGAGGTCGGTGTTAGGTTCACCTCTTTTCTTTTTGCCACATTGCCAAGCTTCTACCTCTACTCCCTCCTTTTGACTTATTGTTGCAGATCAAACCAACAACAGCAGTAAAAACTGTCAATTTAGGTATACTGTCAATAACTGGTAATCAATCATGAACATTAATGCTTTGAACTTTTCTAAAACTTTAAAACTTGTTTTAATATAAATGTAATAGAGGCGAGTTGTTAGAGAAAATAATTTTAGCATTTAGCATTTGTTTTTTAACTTTGTTCTCCAAGATGCTACCAGCACTTTTAATCAGATTAAAATATACTTTACTAATCCCAGAGAGGAAATGTACAATCACCTTTTATTTTTATTTTTTTTACCAATGGCTGTTTCCAAGAGATAATTATTATAAAAAAAGTACCAGTATTACACGTTTTCACACTTTTTAAGCAACACTTGATTATTCGTGTAATTAAAAGTTTGAAGTGTGTCTGACCTTTCAGAAACTATGCCATTTTAATCCTGATGACTGAAGTAAATGACCAGTTTGATTGAGAATAATTATCGTGACAAACCATTCTTTGGGTTTGATTTTTTTTTCTTTACTGTGCAGCTTGTGCCAAGAAACTGCTGGATTAAAAAACACATTTGTCACTTTAGGTTGAGCATCCCATCTGCTTTAAGTTATCTCACTGATTAGTATAAAACAGCAGTGGCTGGATTGGTCAATATCTGATAAGAGAAGAACAATACAAACACACTGCTGATAACTTTTGTATTCAATGCAGAACCACATGCCTATTAAAAAGAGTCTGATAGTAAAAGATCCACATGAAATTAAAATTGTCAATATTCTATGGAAACACAACGTACATATGTGACTCCTCTCAAAAAAATAGGTTACAAAGAAAGAGGTCATGCAACAGTTTAATAATTCTAGGATTAAAGATTAAAGTCCCATAGTTGTCACACACACTGGTGTGGTGAAAATCGTCCTCCGCCGGCCCCGTTTGGGGATCTGGGCGGGGCCTTGGCAGTCGGGTCCTGACATGTATGCTGCCGGGAAGAAGGCGGGAACATGCAGCAGTGCCTGGCCCGGGCTCAGGGGCCTCAGGTAGACCTTGGCTCCTCTGCTGTCCCATCACAGGGGAGGGGGGTGTCCAGGAGGGGGCGGACCCAACCTTACCTGGATGTCCTATGTCTTATATATTCTGGAAGTTGTGCAAATGCAGGGATGGGAATAGATAGCTGCTCAGCAGCACCCCAGCAGAAAGGGGCAAACTCTGGGACCTGGTAATGGTTGTACCCCTTATGCAGCAGTACTGGGACCAGAGTGAATAGGGTGTGTATGGGGGCATGAGTGGGTGTCCGGCGTGCATTTTTGTAAGTCTTTGGTTGTATGTGTATGTGTGAGCATGAGGGAGGGAGTGTGAGACTGTGTCTGTTTATGGCTGTAAATGTCAGGTGGGGCCTTTGACTCCTCCCATCTCCTGGGACTTCTTTTGATTCTATACATCTTCGTCTCCCCTCTCCCTGCCACACCCGGTGTGGAGTGTGGTGCCTTGGTCTGCCTGAGTGATCATGGCTCCCGGGTCAGGGGGTTTAAAAATTTTGGCATCTACCTGATCAATCCTGGTGGCTGCCTTGTGGGATTTGGATCCCTAGACTCTGCTGGGTCCCCGGCGGGGGTGGTCGCCCCTGGGTCCCTTACCTTACATATACAAGCGTATGTACACACACAGGTGCTCACATGGTGCTCTCACAAGTATGGACTTGGGCACGTTCAACACATGTCTTAAGACTATGGTGGGCACTAAATGCACTGTGATTCATTATCGTGTGATTGTTCAGTAAAACAATGTTGATTTTATATTTCTTCATCAAGTTGACACAGTGACAGTTCTGTTGTATTGATGTGTATCCCTTTTCTGCAGGTCTAGAAGCAGACTCTTGTTCATCATTGATTGTTTATTTTTGTGGACCCCCCCCCCCCCCCCCCCCCCACACACACACACACACACCTTTTGTCTCTTCCTTTCTCTTTCACCTCTGTCTCAGTGTCTGGTCAAAATTACAAAGTATTCAAAAAACAATAACAACAAAGTTTTAAGTATCAGGCCTGACATTAGAAGCAGAAGCTTTGATGCTCTACCTGATGCTTGTCACCAGCATTCAGACATTAATTCAGTTTGCTTCACAGCCAGACAGGACACGGAAAAAAAAAAGAAAAAAAAAAAGAAAATCGTCCTCCGCATTTGACCCATTCCCGTAAAGGAGAAGTGAGCTGCAGACATTGCTGCGCTTTGGAATTATTAACTCCCCAATCCAACCCTTGAAAGCTGGTGTCAAGCAGGTAGGTATTAGGTTCCAGGGAGGTCTTTGGTATGACCTGACTGGGATTTGAATGCCAATCTCCCAGTGCCAGGGTGGACACCCTACCACTATGCCACTGAGCTGGTAAAAGAGGCTACATGTATTTTTTTATAAAAGGACGTCATGGTGAGAAACAAACTTCTCACTTTATGTATCACTTTTTAAAGCACACAAATCAGTTTACAGAAATCCCTATGACCATCACAAACACAGGCAAGTCAGGCGAAGTGCCTTGCACAAGCACACAACAGCAGGACTCCCAAGAAGGAGCTGAGATAAAACTGGCAACCCTCCGATTACTGGACAACCAGCTCTATCTTCTGAGATGCTGCTGGCTTGAGCATTATTTTGGACAAACACTGAGTGTACAGTTCCTGTGTGCATGAGTCCCACTCTCACAGCAGGCAAATGACTTATTACATGAGAGAATGCAAGGTGCACTCTGTTTTAAATAGCCTCTTTTGTTCATGAAAGCAGAGCAGTGCTTGCAGGTTTTGAGAAGAAAAACTGTAATGTAATTTGACAAAATTACCTCTGTGGACAGGGACATAGCTGTCCTACTAAGCTAACCTTATTTCATTTGTATATTTGAAGACACTGTTGCTGTGTTTTCTAAAGCCATCCAGATTGCAGCAAGCTTAGAGGCTCAAGTTTGTCTGAGGCTCCTTGTGAGACCAACAGCAATAACAAATTCACAATATTTAATATAAACAAAAGTTAAATAATAAATGACCTGCAGTGGTAATGTGTCTTGGCCAAGGACATAACGACTAACAAAGAGGAAGCCTTGGTTTGAACAAGCAACCCACTGATTATATTTATATATTTATTTTGTTTTTTCTTCATGCAATGTTTGTAAAGGAAAAGTTAAATCCAATAAAAAAAATTAAGAACCGACTGTTTCATGATTGAATTTTATATGATGCAATATACTCATAGCCTAATCAGGTTGTGTTTCATATTTTCACAAAGTAACTAAGTAATTAAGTAACTAATTACTTTTTAAAATAAGTAATTAATAAAGTAACAGGATTACTTTTTGGAGAAAGTAATCAGTAATTAGTAATGAATTACTTTTTCCAAGTAACTTGACCAAAACTGATCATGGTTTAGGGGAAGGATGCAGAAAGCTGTCTCAGAGATTTCAGCTGTCTGTTAACTCAATTAGGAACATACTGAGGAAATGGAAGATCACTGACACAGATCAAGTTAAAGGGGACAAATAATGCAGTTTATCAGCAATCTAAAACACAGCTTTGAATTTCTAAGAAGCATAAGAAATTTTCTTGTGGCTTTCATCTGTCCCAGGAGCCCTGATACAGGCCATTCTAACCCCCCTAAATCAGCCTTGCTGCGAAGAGAGCTGTTTACCCCTCCCACTTGGCCAGGACATGAATATGCTAATGAGTTGCTTGCTGATTGGTTGGTTTAAACCAGAAGAACGCATACACTGGAGATTGCAGATTGGAGGAGGAAGGGCTCCACACTGTGATGTTTTTATGAGAGGTTTCTCAGAAAATACGTTTTTCTCTGGCTTTTTAAAACTCTAATTTACATATACAGTAGGTCACACATGGCTTTTACTTTTTGGCATGCTACTTTTGACCACCCAAGATGTCTTTATTCACAAACAAGAAAAAGTTGGTTTAGATTCTTTGTCCCCTTTAAGGCTCAAAGTGGCAGACCGAGAAAAATCAGATAAACAGAAGTGAAGAATGGTGAGAACAGTCAGAGTCAACCCAGAGACCATCACCAAAGACCTACAACATCCTCTTGCTGCAGATGGAGTCACCCATCTTGATCAGCGACAGGGAAGGCTGTTGTTGGTTTAGTGTCCAGGAAACAGCAGATAACGTCTCAGCTAGCAGAAGCTAACTGTTAACATTAGCAGCTCCACCACACCGCAGAACTCCTTCAGGCTTGAGTTATTTGTGGAGATAAAGCATCAAAGTTGCAGTGCAAACAGAGTCCGTGATAGAGTCCCATTGCTGTTACTCAATCAGAGGCGATATGTCTAAATATCAGGAAGTAAGACTCCAAATCCAGCTCTCCTCTGATCTGGCAATCTTCCAGATCCTAAAACAGGTGCACCAGGGCTTTTTGTACGCAGAGTACGACTTACAAGACATTCATTCCTACTAGACCTTTGCAAATGTATTGATTAAACAAGGGAATTGCACCTTTAATAAAGGTGTATACATGTAAATGCACATGTACTTTTTTTTTACCAGTGTAATTGAAGATATGTGCTCTGAGTAGACTCTTGCAAACAATATTATTTTTGAATAAGGAGAAGAATTTTTTATGTTTTAACCATTTAGTCAGACTCATTGGTACAAATACATCTTCATTTATTTCACATACATTTTTTCTTTTGTTCTTTTAGTTTACACAATCTAAATGATTTTACAACAAAATGAAGAACTACCACAACAAAGTCCAAATTTCCTACAGGGAAAATTATGCAAATGTTACTTAAGTAAATTGACACATGTGGTTTGCCAACCAGCAAAAGTACAGTTAAAGTAATAAAAAGACAAAAATAGGACAAAAATGTGGTTCATGTAGATACTTCAAACAATATTAGGCCATCTTCTGAATGATGCTGAAGGACTGAGTTTTGCAAAATCATTAACATTTTCATAAATATTTTCCCTCTAGGTGTATTAGTAAACAATATATGATTATTAATATCCAAATAGCATTCAGGAACGGGGACATAAAATCAACCATAAAAGCCCTTCCTAAATCAGTGGAAACTTCAAGTTTCAATAATGTTCTTGCTGAAAATCAGGGGTTACAATTTTGGCTAATGCATCCAATGAATATTGCTATGAATAGTTATCTTGAATGAATATGCACTTACATGTACATAATGAAGCATTGGGTAAACATAGTACTGAAATAAAGAAAAATTATCTCTTTCATCAACTTGTTCAGTGAATAAGCATGGCGCAGGACTAAACAAAGTAGGTTAATAGCTTAGATACAAATTTGTACTGTACATTGTTTAGCTGAGTCTGTAATCAACCCAAAACCAAGGGCCTCTTTTTGGGCATACAAATTTGTAAGAGATATTACATAACACCTTTTTTTCTTCAGGTATCCACAGTGACTAATGTGTCCATTGCTCATCCAAGAAGCTGCCAACTGGCATTTATGTAAGAGTTGTAGTCTGTCACTTTTGCAACACTGTATCTAAGATTCATATCAAGAGCCACATATTTAGGGTACTTTCATTTAGTTGAGTTACCCTAAAGTTTCCGTTACCAGTTCTATCTTCTTTTCAAAAAATACAATTGACTGTACTTCGTATGTTTCCTCAATCCCATCTTCGTTTGTCTCTTCTTTACTTTCTCAATAAATGTTCATATATATATATATTTATATTTATAAAAAACTCACATCATCTTCATGTTAAAACGACGTGGACCAGCTTGTCCCTCTGCTGAATCAACATTGGTGCCGTTGGACTTGGACCGAGGTACATATTCAACATCTATGTTGTTTTTATGCTTTCCTTTTCCTCTGCTCCAAACAAAAAGGAGCAGGAAGCAAAACAAGACCACTCCCAAGAAAGTGAAACAACCCATAGCTGTGGACACTAAAATAGTTTTTAGGTCCAAACCAAGGCTCACGCTTGCTGTTCCATTGGCAGTGGTATTACTGGGATCTGTGTAGTACTGGGTCCTGTTGGCATACAGCGATCCGAGACTTTTCACCGCCAATGAAGCCATCAAGGTATCATTTCCAGCAGTGTTTGAGGCAAGGCAAACATACACTCCACTGTCTTGCATCTCAGCTGATTTAATCTCTAGTGTGCCATTGTTGTGCAACATCATCCTTCCATGGCTTCTGCCAGTCAGCTTCCGACCTCGTGGAGACACCCAAGACACAGTGGGTCGTGGAGTTCCATCAGCACTGCATCGCAACATGGCTGGCTGGCCCTCGTCTGCTGTGTAAGTCTGTGTTTTGTTTTCACGAATTTTTGGCTTGGTACAGGTCACATAATAAGACAGCAGAGTCTCCTTAAATTCCTTAAATGGGCGTCCACGTATCCCCTCAGGTGTGCTGCATTCTGGCTGTGAGTCTCCAAAGAAGATGGAGTGTTTCTTCTGTAGAATCCACATGAGACGACAGTCGCACACTAAGGGGTTGTGGTCAATCAGAAGAACCTCCAGAGCTTCAGGAGACTGAAACACTCCCTTTTCCAATGTATCCAGTCGATTGTGAGAGACATTGAGGACTTTGAGATCCCGCAGACCTTGAAATGCATATGGTTCAATAGTGAAGAGTTGAGCTCCAACCAGATGCAACTCCCGCAGCCGAACAAGTTCCAAGAGCATGCCTCCTTCAATGTGTCTGATGCGGTTGTAGGACAGGTTGAGGTGTGTCAGGTAGGGCAGGTGCTTAAGCGCTTGATAAGGGAAAGAGGACAGGTTGGTATTAGTTATAAACAAAGTTGTCAGATTTAGTCCGTGAAGAGTATTTGCTGGCACACGGTCTAATGAAGGCCAGTTGTCAATGTCTAAATGTCGCAGCCGGAACAGCTTTTTGAACGAGTATGGATGCAAAGTGCTGATAGTGAGGTAACGTAGGTGGAGACTGATCAAGTTGTGCAAGTGGGAAAGGGCCTCAGTGGGTACAAATGTGAGGTTGCATCTTTCCAAGGTTAGTGTCTCCAAACTTAAAAGTCCACTAAATGCACTGGGAGTAATATATACCAGATCATTATCACCCACTTCCAAAACCTTCAGATTATGTAGGTCTTGAAACATATAATCCAGAAGGATGACAATCTTGTTGTCACTTATATCCAGTCGAGTGAGATTTGTTAGTGCTGTGAAGACACCCAGAGGGATGAGCTTTATACGGTTGCTCTTAAGACTCAGTGAGTGCATGTTAAACAGGGTGTTAAAAGCTCCAGGCTCAACGTAGCTGATAACATTTCCACTGAGGTCAAGTTCCTCAAGCCCAGGAAAGGCAATAAAGTCATCGGGGTTAATCATTGTCATCTTGTTTTTACTCAAGTCCAGGATCCTGGTCTCAGTTGGGATGCCATCAGGGATGGTGGACATGCGTTTGCGATGACAGACAACTGCCTTGGTCTGCGCTGAACACTCGCAGCGTGACGGACATCCCAAGGTAGAACCCACGAAAGCAGCCACAAAAGCCAGTCCCAGGAATGGCTGCCATGATGAGACGACTGTGTGCAGCATGACTTTGCTCATACAGTCCACCATTCTGTCACGGTTCTGCCAATAAAGAAGAGAGAGAAAAATACAATGAGTGACTTGTATCTATGCTATTCTAAAAGGAATAGAAAATATAAATTTCATGAAAAGTCCATTATCGAGCAAATGTGCACAGGTTATTTTATTAGTATTTGACAACCACTTAAAATGTATTTAAACAAAAACAACTTGATCTTCAAACATTTTCCAAATGAAATGATACATTCTTCCTTTTTCATTTCTCCAAATGCAATAGCATTTATGTTCCTTTTTTGTTTGAACGAACAAAAAATCCCAAACCAACAGCAGCAACCAAGAACATTTATTCCCTGACTGTCCCATTTGGGCAATTCTAAAGGAATAATGTCCAGTTTGGTTGCTCAGTTCCACTGGCTTTTAAAATTCATGACCACAAAGTAAAACAACAGAATTGTGATGCATTAAATACAGCATGTACAGACTACTGGTCAGGTTCTGATCAGAACCTTTCCTGTTAAGCAGGCAGAAAATCCACAGAAATACTGCAGTTGATTTGATTTTAATTGGAGTCAACAGAGTCAGGCAATCATGGGTCAGATTGTTTATAAGTGTCTCTCTCCCAGCCACACCAAGTGGACGCCCACTGGCCATGTTTGATTTCAAATTATTTACCAACTAATTATACCCACTACTCCAATGCAGAGTAAATAAAATGATGCAAAATGATAAATCGAATGAGGAGATCTCAGAAATGTTGTCATTAAAAAGATCACCGAGACAGACATGGTTTTATGTACTTTAGAAGCTTTTACAAAAATCATTTCATTGTAGCTTGGAGGGGTATTAGAACTTTACTTGTGTTTGGTTAACAATTCCACACATTAACATTGGCTTAACATGTTATTTACACACTAAACATGAAATTCCATTATAGTGATTGACTGTGAACTCGGCATTCTGTTTACCCTCAGTATATGAAGTCATAATGCTGGCAAATTGTTGGTTGTAAACATTTTGCGATGCATTTATCTAGGTTTGCACACTGCGGAACCTCACAAAGCACTCATTTCACCCAAGCAGTTTGAGGATTTAGATAACAACCTGGCCTTTGTGCTGTCAGCCAATAAAAAAACACTTGTGAAACTA